GTTCCAATCTTCCCCCACCCCCAGCAACATTAATGTTCCCCTCTCCCTTAACTCCTCTTCTCTACCCCTCTCTGCAAATCCAAAAGAAAAAAAAAAACCGGCATGCTTGGAACAAAATCTGATATATTTTCACTTGGGGTGCTGCTCCTGCAACTAATAACAGCCAGGCCACCAATGGGTTTGGCTCACCTTGTTGAGGAGACCATTGAGAATGCGATTCGAGGAGGGGGGATGGGTTGGGTTTTTTTTTTTTTTTTTTCTAAAATCTATTTCATTTTCAATTTTATGTTTATATTTTAATTTGTTTAAGTAATTAAAAAACCTAGGTGCACAAAATTACTAAAATACCCCTGCCACGTCATCAAACTTAAATGACTTTTGGATGGAGTTAACGGTAGGGGCAATGTGAAACATCAAACCTTGGTTAAGGGGGCAAAGTGGGTCACTTTAACTTTCAGGTGGTAAAGTGAGAATTGACCAATGTTTCAAGGGGCACTGTAGCACTTAATCCTATTTAAAATAAGTTTACCCGAGCAGCTTTATGGGTTTTTATTTGTTTATAATCTTTTTAAATAAATAGTATCGCCGTTCGGATATACTCCTTTTAAAGATAATATACTTAACGAGTATAGCCCAGTGCCGAATCGCTATGCGGGTCCTCTTGTATTTTTTATTTTTATATAAATAGTATAGCCATGCGGCCATACTCCTTTTACACATAATATGCTGATAGAGTATGGCCGCGCGGCAAAAGTACCTTTTTTTAATTATAAAAAATTACTGTAGCTGCGCGGCTATACAGTTTTTACATGTGGGTCCCGAACCGCTATGCGGGGCCTTTTTTATAGTATAGCCAACATGCTATACTTGAGATAAATAGTTCTACTCATGTTTGGTGAGAGATTAAAGAGGGAAAAAAGAAGAAGTTGAAAATGGACCATTAATGCTACTAAGAGGTAAAGCCACGTGAAGCCATGTGAGTTTGATTTCTGAGTCGCCTAAGGCAACTAAGAATAGCCATGCACCAAGAAAAAATAAATAATAATAATAATAATAATGTGCCAAGCATTATTCAAGCATATAGCTAGTGATGAGCTCTCACTTCCATCCATTTCATTTCATTACTTCAGTCTAGAAAATGCAAAATTGACATTTAACTACAATTATAAAGGACGAGAGACAAAGACTTTGACTCCAGCCATTGTAAGAACAACCACTGAGGTGAAAGATAACTTATTCAAGAGCACAAGGAACAGGCTTTTTGCATGCAATTTGTATATAAATTTCATTCAATTCGTTATCTTCTTTATTACAATTCTAACAATGGCAGCAAGCTCACTCAATAGTAAAAAAGACTTGGCCTGATTTTGAGGATAGGGAGATTTGAAGTAGCATTCAGGTGGAAATTTAGCTCTAAGGGGGAGATTGACTAAAAAAAAGTTTGTATCCTGAATTTTATCAAATAAAAAAACAATGGGCAAAATGAAAGTTATGTACAAGTTCAAAGGGAATTTCAACAGTTTAGCCTCTTTTTTTTGGGGCCAAATAATTGATTTTTTTTTTAATAAAAAAAAAATGAAGAAATAGCTTTCATTCAACTACAAAGCAAGCAAGCTAATAAATAACTGATGAGGACTTTTGAAAGTTTGAGAATTCAAATGAGGCTTAAGGATCATATTGATTGATTGGAAAGTTTGAGAATTCAAATGAGGACTTTTGAAAAATTCAAGGATCATTCATGACAAAAACCCTTCTCAGTATCTTTTTATTCGGAGAGGCTGCATTTGTTGAAGCTTGTTACCTACGATCAAGGACGGATTCAGGAATTTTCCTTGCTGGGGTCAACGTTTAACATGGTAAAAAAAAATTGGGAGTTTCACTAAAACACCCAAAATGGGAGTTGAAATTATAAAAAAACCCAACACCCAAAACACTTTATAAACACACCCAAAACCCATCATTACACACACTCAAAATCCATTTATAAACACACCCAAAAAATATACAATTGTTGATTTTGGGGTTGATTTTGGGTGTGTTTCTATGTTTAAATAGTGCTTGGGTTTTTTTATAAATATATGTCTAGGATTGGGTTTATTTATAAATTTGTAAAAAAAATTTATACAAAAATAAACCCATAAAAATGAAACGATAATTTATAATTTATAATTAATAGAAAAAACCACACGACAATTGTCCACGATGAGTTTTCATATTCTGAAAACGTTCTATTATAGTTTCATTATCAATAAAAGCGAACACATCTTTCTCAATATGAACAAGTAAGGTATCAATCTATTAATCGAGAAAAGCTAATGAAAATTCATATAAAAAAACTAATTGAGCTTCTATGTTGTATCGTTTTCTTAAGAAATCTATTTCAGCCAAGACAAACCAAATAGCTGGGAATGCCTTAATTTCCCCGAGCCCAATACTACAAGATCTTAAATTTATATTTCCATCAATATTTAATCAATCAAATACAAAAATGAAGCATCAAATATCAGTTCCACCGAGCAGTAATCTTCACTTTTGTCAAATATCCGTACTTTTTCAAAGTTAAAATAAAAAGAAGCCGATTTTTTTCCCCTACAGACCAACCAATGGGTACTCAAAGTGAAGAATATTGAAGATAGAAGTGAAAATATCACCAAGCAGTTATCTTCGCTTCTGTCAAATACTTCAAGCTAAACTGAAATATCAGATCAGTGAGCAAATCACAAATAGTCGATGAGCATCAGATTGCGAGGTCGACGCTGCACGCTAGGGAGAAGAGCGCTGCTCTTTGGGGACTTTCATCGAGCACTTTGCAGGGGTCAATTTTCTCCCCTCCAATGGCAGATCCCAGAGTTGCAGAGGTCATTTGACCACCTCCTTTGTGGATCCGTCCCTGCCTACGATATACCATGTGACATAGTGTCAAGCATTCAGGTGGGACACTTCTGAACCCTTATGTCAGGCAAATAGTAACCTCTCACTTTCCATAAATTTCATTTTAGTAATTCCAATATATTTTCCTCCCAAAAACATCAAAGTCGAGGAACCCTTGATCAAAGAAAAGTATATGAGCAAGTTGTGCATACTAAAAAACAAACAAAATCGAATTAGTTTTCTAGTCATGTGCATTGACTTGAATGGCTCCTTTAATAAGAAATCTTGTTCTTGACTCATGGGGTGTAATAATAGGAAGGAGAAAACGGCATTCAAGTATCAACCTCATTTCACTAAAGTTTAGCAAGAACATGCAAACTTTCCAATTTTAACATTACAGATAACAGACAGGCTGAAAATATATAGAGATAATTGTGTGCTTATTTCCTATATTTCAATGTGTCAGGGTTCTAATATTTTTTTTGTTAGAGAAATTTACAATCCAAATAAGAAAAAAATAAAAATATACAAAGCTTTAAAAAAAAAAAAACACCACAGATAGAGGAACAACCTCAACCCCGGCTATTGAAATCCCACCTGAATTTGTACATAATTTTCATTTTGCTATATAATTATGTTATTTTAAAAATTAAGGATACAAACTTTCGTCATTTAGAGAAGCGGTTTGGTAGCCATCTACGATTGTCAGCACGTGAACGAGGGGGGATTCGGATTGAGGCAGGGGATGGAATCAATCTTATGCGGGGGTCGCGGTTCTCCTTGGTGGCAAGGGTTCTGACTTCTAAGGCTGTATTCTCGGATGGGTTTGTGGGGGTTTGTGAAAAATTATGGCATGGGGGCGATGGAGTTTCAATAAAAGAGATTGATGAACGGAAGTTTCTGATAAGATTTGCTAGTAGACGGGACATGCTTCGTGTTTTGGATATGGAGCCCTGGTCTTACAAGGAACATCTCGTACTCCTATCTGAAATCCAGCATGGGAAGGAGGTGCGGGAGGTGGAGGCATCCATGGCTTCCTTCTAGGTGCAGATGCATGGAGTTCCGCTGCTAAATATGACCACGGTGGTGGCCAGAAAAATAGGTTCGGTGTTGGGGCAAGTGCTGGAAGTTGACCATACAGAGGGGGAAGAATGTATAGGGCGGTTCTTACGCGTTCGTATTCGTTTGGATGTGCGGCAATCGCTTATGTGTGGTTCTTTTGTTGAGTTTCCTGAAGAGGGTGCCACTTGGGTGGATTTTCGTTATGAGTTTTTGCCAGAATATTGTTTTCTTTGGGGGGGTGTCTGGGGCATCCCAGTCGGATTTGTGTTGAAAAACTGGCTTCTGCAGATAGTTCCCAAAATTTGCAGGATCAGATGATGGCTTTTGCAGGATTGGAGGCAAGTGAGGACTTGCGCGGACGAAGACTTCGGCAACATGGACGAAAGGAGTCGTCTGATTCCAGTCCATGGGTCTCAGGGGATAGTACTGATGGGAATATGCGTCAGCGCAAGTCTTATTTTACAGGGAATATGAGGGAAGGTTCGGGGGGGAAGCAAAGCTGACTGTAGTGATTGGAGAATTCGTGCAACAAGGGAGGCAGAAGAACGGAATAGGCAGATACGGGAGGCGTCATGGGAGGCTGGAATTTTGGGGCCACATGGCAACATTGAGGTCTCGCCCGCGAACTCAGTTGAGCCTCATCTTCCTCATGGAGGTGTTCAAACTTCTGTCGATAGTGGGATCGCTATTGATTTGAATGCGGTGGCCGGGGTAGAGGAAAGGACCACAGTGCAAGGAACAATACACGAGGCCTTAAGTAACCGGGCTGATGTCGGAGGGAATTTGGGGGGTCAATCTGAGGCGCTGACGTACGGGTCTGATCATTTTAATATGGGGCCACTTATATTTGGGCAACCTGTTAATTCTAACACAGGTGGTGTAGGCTCTAGGAGCAAAAGGGGGAGAGAGGAAAATGAGAATGACAGTATGGATAAAAGGAGGTGTGCTGGTATTCGGTTGGTGTCAGCTTGTGGAGGGATAGGCAGTATGGGATCTCGAAGGGAGATAACTTTTGACGATACTCTAATTCAAGAAGCGGAGACCGGACTCGAGTCTCCGCGAGCATTATGAGGATCATAGTCTGGAACTGTCAGGGTATCGGGAGTGTTATGACAGTTTCGAGTTTGAAGGAGCAAGTTAGGCTCCAAAGTCCTGACATAGTGATCCTCCTAGAAACAAAAAATCTGAGTCAACGCTATGGGTATTTAAAACGTCAGTTAGGTATGCAATTTATGCATGCGGTTGAGCCTCGGGGCTTGAGTGGAGGATTGTGTTTATTCTGGAAGGAGATGTCACAAGTTGTATTACTCAAGTATGCTGATTTTTTTATTGAGGTTGTGATCAAGGATGAGGAGAATGGTGCCAAGTGGCGCTTCTTTGCAGTGTATGCAAGTACTGATGAGCGAGTACGGAGATCACAATGGCAAATGTTACAGGATAGGATGGCCCAGTGTCAGGAGGCTTGCCTACTTATGGGAGATTTCAATGATATTATGGACGTATCTGAGAAGCGTGGGGGTTTGCCACGAAGGAACGAAGCTTGTATGATTTTTCCATGTTTGCAGTGAATAGTCACCTGTTGGATTTGGGATATGTGGGCCATCCGTTTACTTGGAGGAACAGGCGGCAGGAGGGAGGCATAATGGAACGCTTGGATAGGGGTTTTGGGAATGATCAATGGGTTACACTGTATCCGGCTGCTACAGTACATCATGTGGTGGTGCCTGGCTCTGACCATGTGCTGCTCTTACTACAAACCCAAGGTCCAGGTAGGAAATGGCGTAAAAGATTTATTTTTGATCCTCGCTGGGGGGATTCAGAGGGGTGCCGAAAAGTGGTAGAAGAGAGATGATGCAGACAGTTTCCGGGGTCAAGGGGGCTATAGATTTCGGGGAAATTATGCTGGGTTAGGAAGGGGATTTTGGATTGGAGAAGAAGTGAATGGAGAAGTTCCAAGGCTACTATTGCTCTCTTACAGCAACAACTCAAAGCTACTTATCTGGCTCCTGACTTTGATCGTGATGAGGTCTTGCAGTTGGAGAGTAGCCTTAAAGAGGCGTTCCGGGAGGAAGAGGTATATTGGAAGCTGAAATCTCGAGTCCAATGGCTTAATGAAGGAGAAAAGAACACAAAATTTTTTCATTCTAAGACGCTTGCTCGTCGTCGTGCAAATAGGATGGTGGGTTTAGAAGATTCTGCAGGACGGTGGTGTACGGATGATAGTGAAGTTAAACCACTAATCCTTTCCTATTTTCAGGAGATTTTTACCACGTGTTCCCCTTCGAATATAGAGTACATTACTGATTGTGTTCAGCCACGGGTGACCATGCAGCAGAATGCGTGCTTGACACGGCAAATCTCATCTGAAGAGATTTGGCTAGCAGTGAAATCCTTGAACCCTACAAAATCGCTGGGTCCAGATGGATTTACGGGGAAATTCTTCCAACAGTATTGGGATGTGGTTTGTAACACCCCGACCCCAAATTTATCCCATGTTTAATTAATTTAAGTGGAATTGAGAAATTACCCGTGGGATAGGGGTATTTTAGTCATTTTCTTACCCGGAAGGAAT